TTCAGCAGGGACACTATTCAAGTGAAGTTAATGCATCATGTGAATCTAAACAAACTCTTCAGCAATACAGGTGGTACCTGAAATATGCTCTCCAAAGCATTGACATTAATGGAAAACACTAAGTATCACAGCATTCCATCCCTCCACTGCCTCACATTAGAATGAATCAAATATATATACAGATTCATTATAAAAAAGCCCCACCTTATCTACTTATCCTTAGTATTCTTATCCCACCCTGAGGTGAAGCAAGATTCTACTTCTATCAACTACAATACAAGAGCTTGTTAATTGGTCTAAGACTATTAGCACCATGGAATATAAATTTGTCACAATGATTCTTCTCCAGATCAGCAGTACATACTCTCCATAGTCTTTCAGTACTCATTAACAGACTAAAATAATCTTAAACTTTTAAAAGGGCACAATCCCTCACTTACTTCTAAATCAAAACAGGGCACACCAAAACAGCAAACCAAGTAACTTATACTTACTTCTTTTTTCATCCATAATTTTAAAGCAGTAAGTAAAGCCTTCACTCCTTGCACTAAATAGCTTGGAGGCTGGAAACCATCTTCCCTCAGTTCTGAAAAGAATACATACACAAATTTAGAAGCACACTAACAGTCAAAACAATAGGATGATACCTACCCTTCAGCCAATAAAGTTGCCATTATGCAACAGCATAAAAAAGGCAAAGTTGTGCAAGCAAATGTAACATGACATCCTGAATTTGTGTACATACTCTAACAAAAAAAACCCAACTTAACCCTAAAGTGGTTCTATGCAGAATCTTTTATCTTTTTTACTTATTCTTCAGTGAATTAGGGATAGTTGACAACACAGTAAAGGTCAACTGCAACAAAACAGATCTAAAATACAGAACTAGAGAAAACATATTTAAAAAAAAAAAATATCACCTTTATTTCCTTCAGAAATACTTTTGACAAGGGGGACCAGAAGAATGTTGGATGTATCTCCAAACGATAATTCTTACTGCTTATTCCTGAACATATATAGCACATGGTTTACACTAGTACACTTCTATTTCCCAAACATTTTCTGTCACCCTTCCAATTATCACTGTTCTCCCTGACACAGTTTACACCATTTTTTCCTCCCCAAATCAAAGGAAGTAGGGAGTAAAAGACAAACCCTGCATAAAAAGTCTCTTTTTCCCTCAAGCTCAATTAAACACACGTACAGATTCAGGAATGACAGGACAAGATGAGGAAGTTTGGAAAGGAATGGCAAGCATCAAGAACATGAGGCTATTGAGTTGTCTACTGATAAGCACTGACATAAGTTACTTAACACAGCTCATAGAACTGATGCATCTTTCCTAAGAAAGCCTCCACAGACAACTTTCCCTTCACAAGAAGGAGAAGATAACTGGTAGTTTGACTGAAAAGGTGAAAGAAAAACATAGAAATGCAAGAAAACTTCTGCATCCAGCTATGAAGTCACAATGAAGAAACCCACAGATGTTGGTGGGATCATTCAGAATCATTTGCTGAACAAAAGAGAGAAGGCCTACCAAAGGGTACTCTTAGATCACAACAAATGGAAGAAGCCTGACTGAAAAACTTACGTCATTCAAATAACCTTCCTATCTTCCCTAACGAGGTCTTTTCTGAATATGGCAAAGTAATCATACTTGGCTGCTAATATAATACAACACTGTGCCAGGGTCTCAGTTTTGATGATCTAGAACATTTTCATTGACTAGACATCTCATCAGTGTTGGATGAAAAACAGGAATAAAACAGTTCAAAGGTTTCAGCAACATGCTACTGTCAGTTACATCCATCACCAAGTGCACTAAGATTTCTGCACAGCGCAAATTTCCCTAGAAACCTTTCACCACCAAAGCATTTTACCACAAAGATAATTTATTAAAACCAAGAACTGCTGGATCTAGAACTGTCACAGTGCAACACGGACTAAAATTTAGCTGAAAAATAATGTGACTTTTCAAACAAACAAAACAAAACAAAACAAACAGGAATTCAACTCTTCAACTCTGGTTTTCCAACTTACAAAGTTTTCTCTTGTCACACAACAGCAGAATAATGTTCTCTATTATCTATGTGATGGGGTTGGTGGGGTGGGGAGGCAGATAAATGTAAATCTCTTAAAACAAGATTACCTTTCAATGTTTCCAGTAAGTTTTTGGCCACAAACCAACAGATGGCTTCAAAGAAAGGAAATTTGAAAAGATCTGGGGTTTTTAGCCTCTTCTCCATTTCGTAACACCTGAATAAATAAACATCATAAAATGTGAATATTTTAACTATCAAATTAATTATTCAATGATGCAATCATTCAAATTGACAATGTTCAAAATAAAATAAAATAACCATGGCCATGATAAATAAAAGAAGTCAAGTATCACATAGTTAAATCCCAACAAGACCACAGACAAAATTGAACTATGGTCTCATCCAGGCTCTGACCTTAGCAAGTTTGACTGCGGCACTTCTAAGAATAAAGTTGGACTTCATAAAACTAGGATACAAACCCAATGTGTGATCTTTTAACAGATGGAATTTTATCAGGATTCCACTGTAATAAATAAAAACAATATGTTTAGAAGACAGCTCTACATCTTGGACAAAAACTAAATACAGCTGCCCTTAGAGCAATGCTGACTTGAGGACGGCTCATTTCAACTCAAGTGTCACACACGTGGGATTGCTTGGTTTTATTTTACTCACATTAATCTCCACAGTATTCTGTTTGTTTTTTTCCTTTTTTTCACTTAAATTCGTGCATATCCCTTACTTTGCTTTTGCAACAAACTTTGAAGAAGTGAAAAAAGAGTATATGCTTGACACACTCTAACTGAAAATGCCACTATTGTCTCTTTGAGAGCCTGTATCGATTTTATCCTGGTTAAGAGCATGAAGAAAAACATATCTTAAAAGAATATCCTGCTTACTGAGGAAAAGGTGTAGGAAGAGCCGAGACTAACCTGAGCTGCATGCCAATATTGAGGTTGTGCAAAAAGTTTCCTCCAAAAGCCATACAATCCTGAGATGTGAGTACAGCATGAATCCAGCCTGAAATGACAAGACTCTGAAACTTAATACGTACATACAGATTATTCTAAGACTGTTTTTAAATACATATATAAGTAAAAAATGCTGTACCTGGAAGCAAAAAAGCCAAAAAACCTATATTCTGTGCTTGTAACAAGTTATCTACATTTTAACAATATGCAAGTTACAGTATTTCAGAAATCTAGTGGAATTGTCATTTTCTGAAGGAGTGAAGATTAAGATTCTTTTTTTAAGGGGATCTGGGGGGTGGGAGAAGGGCAGGTTAGAGGAGGCAGAGAATGCAAGACCACCAGTGGTTTTTCAAGTAAAAATTCCCAGAAGTTTCCCCTCCAATCTACAAAAATAAGAAGGTCAGGAGAGGAAAAACATACTAAACAAAAGATAAAGTAATAAAAATAAAACAAATTATATTACTTTCAATATTTACATGTTGCTTGCAGTAATTGAGCTGTTTGCACAACACAAAAAAGTCATTTAGCAATACTGAAGTGTCCTAAACAGGATGTCAGAAGCAGTTTCATTATTCTAAATAAAGTCATCTAATCCAATGAAACTATGATCAGTTTAAAATCCCGTCTAGGCACTCTGACTATGTAAATTTGTCACATAATTGTTTTATTGTCCTTGTGAACTCCACTATTCAACATGGTAAAGCATGTTCATAATTATGCTATCCATCTAGCTGATTAAAAGTGGATAATTTCAGGTAAGTACACAAAAGAACTTAGGATATTAGCTCCTAATTAAAACCAGTTGCCTTTAAATATTATACAGTGCACCTTTAATACCAATAAACTACAAATAAGAGATTCTTCTTTCAAGGTTTTTCTGATTTTGCATGCAAATAAGTGATCTTTTGACAAAAGATGAGTTTGCAACACATCTGCAGATTACTTCATGGCTTGACTGAGTGTAGGCAAGATGTACTAACACAGGAAGTTCCCCAACTTCAGGCAAGATCGCACCAAATCACAAGCAAATATATATTGCAATCTGCTCTACCATTAAATCGTGCCCTAATTCAGTTAAGAACAAGTTCTGGTTGTTGTGGTACCACACATAAAAAGACCTGAAACCTAGCAACGATGCTGATAAAGCAACGTGCCTTCTATGTAGCCTGGGAAGGGAGGAAGGGACAGAATAGTGTATAAGAGAATGCAGAATACAATGGCACATGCAACTTATGGGGTTTTTTTAATGTAACAGTTTTGCTTCTGTTATTTGAAAATTGCAGTGCAATTAAGATGGCCTTATATTTCCAGCTGAAATTTGCATTTCTTAATATAGCTTCAATTTTTTCCCCTTTTATCATCATCACAATAGATGAATACCTCTGACTGTCCAAGGAGTAAGTATATTTCATGCCTTTAAACAAATATCTCCTCAGACACTGACAATACTGACAAAAAAACTTTCTCACTGTTGCATCAATGCCAAGGACTTTTATGGCATACATGTAACAACTAAAATATTTAATTTTCTTTGCATTCCTACTTGCTACTTTTATGCTTTATTTTTTATTAAGTTCTATGTAATGAAGCAAGAAAATCTGGTGTAGACCACACAGAGTACCTTGAATAATATTTAAATAACTCTCAGGAGCCTCCCTATAGGTGCTATTCATCTGCATGCAAGATTAATTTTAAATCTGAACTCTACTCTGAACATATTTCAGAAATCATAAAGTAATTACAACATCCACTAGCATCAACAGCAAAAGAGGTTTTCAGTAGAGATCCGGGGTGTTTTTAAGCATTTAATCAGTCCTACAGAATTTCCCATTTTTTAGGCACCTGTCTTGTAATCTAGTTTAATTTATTGGTTCTTACACAAAACTCCATCATATGTATGTTAATATGTACTTATGTGTATGCACACATTTACATTAAAAAGTACCATTTTATGTGTATAAACACACAAATACACATATACATTAGAAATTACCATTTTATGATACTTTTCGACCCCATTATAGTAAGAGCTCAGATGCAGCTGATTACTTGAGAAGCTTTAACTATTTTTAAAGATCTGTGGGTCTTAATATGATAAATTTGCATGCTTTGTTCATAGCTGTATGACCTTACACTCAGATAAATGGAAAACTGATGTAATCTCTTGCCAAAAATATATGGTTTTAAAAAGCTCAGGGTGTTCAGGAATGTTGAAGGCATATACCACTCTTTACCATTTAGTATTTATTCTGCACAAGCCATGAACTACAACACCAAACACTAAACATCACAGACAGAACTGAGCTATGAGAAAAATGTAATAGTCTAAGAAGTCAACAACAGAATAAGGCACTGAACATAAACTTCAAGGCATATTCCAGAAGTAGAACTGTGCACCATTTTTCTTCTCTGTGTATTTAAAGCTCCACCCCCAAAAAAAGGGAACAGTATCTAGTACAAATCTTTAATAATAAAATAATAAGTATTTTAATGGATGGGCTGGATAAGTGAAAATACAAGAAATTAACTGGCACACACTTTATTAGTAAAATAGGGTTTGATTTATTAAAGACTTATAAGTTCATGGTATTTGGGAGCCTGAGGGTGGGAGTGGGGTGGGGTTTTTTTTTGATTTTTCAGTGTTTCTTAAACACATAAGTTTAATTGTCTTCATGTTTCCCCTTTCTTAAAAATGTCCTGTAATGTATTAGGTGACTGCTATAACAAATGTTGACAAAGAAAATCAGAAAAGACCATGCCTCTGCATAATTTTGATAGGAAGTTGCTGAAATGAATGTATGAATTCCACAGTTTCATAAACTGTATACACAAATATCCTTTTATATTTAGCAAAAGGAATTAACACAAGAATTCAATTATATTCTCTTCAATTTTACTTAGGGACACTTTCATTTTGATTCAGAGTCTCCACAGGCTCCATCAGTTTAGGTTTCCTGCTGTCAGAAAACAAAACAAAAACAAAAAAACACCACCCAACTTTTATTTCTAATCCTACAGCATAAGAAGTTTATGTGATGTTCTTATAATAATTTTGCCTGCACATTTAACAATATTCAAAAGCTGTAGAACAAAATTGTATTACAAAATTAAGAATTCAGTCTGGATACCTATCAAATGGTGAACGATGCGTGTTTGATGAATTGGAACGGTTTCCTTGATATACAAATTATGCTTTAATTTGTCATTACAAACACCCTTTCCTGATAACTGTTATTGCCATCAGTGAACCTAACAAGCTAGATACTTGTTCTGAAAATTTAAAGCTCTAAATTTTTAAATTTTCTTGCTTTTCAAAAATTTCAGGAGAAACCAAATGTTGATAACACAATCCCATGTGATTAAATATGCAAAGTCCTAGTAAAAAGGGTAAAATCTGACCTGTTGGAACAAATAAAGTATGTCCTTGTTTCACAACACATTTGTAACATTTGTCAACCTTGTCCCCAAAATATACTTCACTCTGGGTGACAGATGAACTCCAAGACTCATACAGAGCTAAATTTTCATCAGTGGGCTTGATCAAATAGAATATCTTTTCACCCTATTAAACAAACAAACAAAAATAATAATTAATAAATAAATGAATGGCCTCCTGGAGACATACTACAGCCTCTAAGTCATTCCTAATAGAGTAACAGATTGATCTAAATGCTAAGTATTCTGTATTTCCACTATGGAACACTGAGGCTTTCCAGTTATCGTGTTTCACAACTGTAATCCACCAGAAGTTTAGTCAATAGTACACTAACCAGCTGATGTAATGTAAAAGAAGCAAACAAACCAACTAGAACTGTCACTGAAGCCAGCTTTTATAAACAATTTATGTATATGTACACATGCCAAGTAAGAAAAAAATCAGGTGAAACCACTTTGCCTATTCTATGATGTATAAATGGTCAAAATTTGTGAGAGGAACAAAAAGTTGAGTATGTCAATGATTTTCATTCAATTCATTTTTCATACTAAAACCTCACTATGTATCACCTACCAGTTTACTAAATTGATCAGTTAGCCAATTAAAGTCACCAACCAACAGAAGTCACCAACAGCATGCTAAAATATAAACACCAAAATGCAACATCAACCATCAGTAACTCACTTTCAAGCTCCTCTCCTGGCTTTTTAAGCACAAAATGACATACAGGTGATAATGTCATGGCAGAAAGCTGCACACTGAATAAATTTTGTTTCACACAGTCATAAATTAAGAAGCCTTCATACCCAGAGAACATGGTACCAAACTGATGTTCCTCCAAAATCGATATGAAAATCAGTATAGCTGTCCTGGACACCCATCAAGCAATACTTCTGAACAAAAGGCTTAGGGAAGACAGAATCATCTGGCCAATAATTTTCCACCCATGAAAGCTTTCTGGCAATATCTGGTACTTCCACTAATTCAGACATCCTTTTAAAACAAACAAACAAACAATAAAAGAAGTATAAATATAATCAAGAGTAAGCACACTTCTTAAGCGACAGCTTTAAGTTTTTGTTTCCTACAAAGTTATTACTTATTAATTAATAAAAATGTTTGATGCTTGCATTACCTCATAGTAGCTGTCTACATAAAATACACAGCCTCTTATCTTTCTCACTACAGCCATTATATTCCCACACATACTCTTCAACTTATTGAAAACCACTTCCAACGTTCAAGGAACTGAAGTCAATACTCACTTTGTGTCCGAGAATTCCAGGCTGATCACATTCAGTACTTTTGGTCGGTCAGGATTTGTGAAATATTTAATATAATTATGGAGCTTCATTTTACTGTCTGCTTGTCTTGCTACATCTATTACATCTATCACTTTGTCACCACCTGTGAAAAACAGGATGACCTTCTTAAACCTATCACAGATAAACACAGCCAATTAAGAGAAATTTCACTTTTTTCCCCAGCCTTCATCAAAAAGTTTCTGCACATAAACTCCACTACTATCAGTATCCTCTTGGAACAGACACAGCTCAGTATCAAACAACTTTTTATTAGGTCTAACTTTAATTGCTATAATCAGCTAAGGACAGAACCGAAAACACTAAAAATAAATCCTCTTTCCTGTAGTTAACCAAAAAGAAAGAGTGGTACAGAATGACTGCAACGGGTTGTGGTGTTTGTTTTTTTAAAAAAAAAAAAAGAAGAAACATTGATTTTGTGGCTGCAGTTGGAAAGACTAGCATAGAGAAAGTTATCATGGCAGATCTATTCCTCATTCTTCCTATTAATCACCATAGCCCTCTAATATTTAACACAAGGGCCACTAGGAATTATTTACAAAACAATAAATCCTACTGCTTGCAGCTTGTAATTCTTAGAAAACCGCATTAACCATGTGCCATAAGCTTTGAACATTAAAAACATTTCACAAACATTCTACAAGCCTACCCCCAGCCTCCTTATATACATGTGTAACTTTTAAGCACACAGTAATTTTGTTCAATAATTGTCATGAGTGTGCATTTGTTCCTGAAGACAACAAGGACTGGTTTACATATAATGTATTTTAAAGTGATACATCTGCAGAATGAGACAAGAAGCAACCTTCAGCCCAGAGAAAGGAACTAATGACAACATTGTGACAGCAAGTGGTTGATGTTTATTTAGTTACACTATGGTCAAATGTGACAATCTTGAATGCTGGAATGTACCTATATGTACTTTATAAATGTAATTACTTTAAGACTGTAAGTTAATATAATCTTGGTAAATTCCAGTTGGAATAGCATTTATTCAGTTTTCTTATTTTAAATTACAAGAGTAGAAAGGTAAATCTGTCGCATTTAAATTTTTTCCCTAAACTGGAGAATCCAGCAGGTCAAAATACAAGTATGAGAATGAGAAGATCAAGGTCCTCTCTGAATCTGAAGAGTCAGTAATCCAAAAGAAAAGATTCAGAAGTATTAAAATAATAACTACATTTTAAAACAGAACACATTGCTGTTTATAATCATCAACATGGTAACAACACTCCATATATGACCTATTTCCTTTGTTCTGCTGCCATTGTAAAACGTTGATAGAGAGAAAACTTTCAGCGCACCTCATTATACTAGGTTATCACAAGAACACAGCCAAGACCACATACAGACTTTTCAACAGCACTGTATGCTAAAGAAAATGCCATGCTGCAATTGGCTCACTCTGTGTTCCTCTATACTGCACCTTTACATGAGGCTGAAACACTTACAGACTGCCAAGAGATCTGATAAGAAAAAAATGGTCCTGGGAAAGCTCTAGCTCTCCTGCCAAAGTAAGCCAAGGTAGGAAATTTTCCAGGAGGAAAGAATTTAGAAACACAAATTTACAGAGCCCAAAAATGTTGAATATCCTAACCAATGGATAAACTTTATTGATCATAAGAGTGATTCATTCAATTCCCACAAAGAGAACAGTCTTAAAAGTCACTATACTTTATTGGTTTACAACATGTAGCAGAAAAAAAAACCAGCATTCCATGTTTAGCTTTGCACCAAAAATAACAAGTTGGAAAGCTTAAAAGTAAGGCTGTACTCCTATCACATATCTACCACACACACACAAACACCCAAAAGAGAAAAAAACAAAACCAAAACAAAATAAAAGAAACCACATCACAAACCCCATAGCTTTAATTTTACTCTGCTAGTCTTCAATTTAGAACATATATTTAGCACCGTGGAACCTCTTAAAATCATGCAAATATTTATTTTAATTTACAGACAGGATCATTTTTAAGTACTCCAGAGTGACTCTTACCTACATAGCGTTCCACATCTAAAACAGAGAAAGTCGGTGGAGGAAGTCTGAGTCCCAGACCATCTAATTTAGAAACCATAATGGGAACATCAAACCCATGTTTCTCCAAGTATCTGTGTGTCAGCTGGCTTCCATGCATTTTCAAAATCACTTCATCAGCACTGGTGGAAAGAAATAATGGAATATTAGCAGAAAAGCATCCTCCAAGCACTACTGGGAAAAATAAATAAAGTAATCATATGGGAGAAGACAGATGGGAATGGCTACATTTGAATTCAAAAGAATTGCATCCAGTACTATTATATTAAGCAACTAACTAAAAGAAAAAGTAAATTACCTAGACCAACAAGGAAATGTTTACCGTCACACATAACCTAGGAACTCAGAGTCTTTCTATACGACTGAACACAGAAATTTAAGAGGAAAGAGAAAAGGAATTCTCAGAGAAGGCACTGAAGTACATTTTGGTAACAACAATAACAAACTCCTTTAAAGAATTTTAAGTCATTATGTTTCAGTGAGACATCCAACCACAGACAGCTCAGGATGAAATCACACCCATATTTCTCCACTTTTCTCTAAAGCATGTGAGAGTGGATGGACTACCAGCTCATATAAATGTTCTATGTTTTTTGGAATAAAACTGAGGAGTGCTGTTGGACTAGAGCAATAGACAGACAATATTCTGACCGTTTAGGCACAAAAAAGAAAAACACCACAACAAACAACCACCCATGCTACTTCCACCCCTTCCCCACAAAAACTAGCACACAAAACCCCAAAAACTCAAAACTACCATCACACCATACCAGTCCCAAAAGACAACATATCCCAGTGCAATACTGAACAGAGAAAGCTACTCCATGAAAAGGAAAATATCTCCATCTGAAACAGGGATTGGAGGGTGAATTCTGAAGAAGGAAGTCATTCTCAACCTTCCTTTTGTGAAGCAGAGAAATGTGACATGCCTCCCCTAAGACAAACTCAACCAATGACGCTTCTTTTTTTTTTCACTGAAATGTGTAAGCAAGCTTCTGTACCTTGGGAAAGAGCGAGCTCGCAGCTGTTTAACAAAGGTCCGTGTTCCAGCCTGCACTGGTTTGGAACCATCATCCACCTCTGTATAGTCATGTCTGTGCCAGTTCCTTCTCTTCTTCACTGCAAGTTTCAGAAAGATTAAACTTTTCATTAGTTAAATCATATGGCTCAGATTAGCAGTCTAAACCAGACATACCTCAATCACATTACTACCACTAACAAACCTTATTGTTTATGCAGGTGACACTTTACCTATCTGCAATAAATGAAATCTTCAGGACACCTGACAGTAATCTTTTATAATTCTATAGCTCCTTCTGTGCGAGAACCTCACTGCGCATTATACGCAATTTACGAATCCAAATCCAGTGCAACATACAAACAGCAGCAGCTTAAAAGCTATCTAAATCTAAAAGTCAGCAACAAAACTAGAAATAAAACTTTAATTTCCTAAAGCTCAGAGTTGTGCTGTGTTTTTAAATAAACAGAAGAATCATACCTCTTCAAAATCCATTGACTTTGCTCATGCATTTTATGTACAAGCACGGAATTAACAGGACCTCATAATCATATGAGCATACCCATATGCAGGCTTACAATATTACTGCTAATCACTGCCATATGCTGTTTGAAACCAAACCACCTTTCTTTTATCCACTGTTTATGTCTCCGTAAGAGTTGGGTGTGAACCATTTTCGTCAGGTGTGATATTTATTATGCAACTACAATACATACAATGCAAGCATTGCACCCCAAAACATCTGAGTTGTGAGAAGATTTAATGCACTGTTACAGCATACAAATAAAGAACAAACAATAGATTAATGGCCTACTACAATTTTGGGAACCTGAAACTGATTTCAGTTTAATATCAACTAATAGTTCCCTGTATCTAATAAAAAACCTAGACATTCTCATTAAAACTGTTTTGTTGCTCTCCACAAGATAAGTGACAGGTACACAAATGAGAAAAAAAAAAAGTTTTTGTAGAATGGTTTGTGTTGGAAAGGATCTTTAAAGATCACCTAGTCTGATGCCCCTGCCATGGGCTTATATCTTTCACTAGACCTGGTTGCTCAAAAGTCCCATCCAATTTGGCATTGAATACTTCCAGGGAGGGGGCATCCAGAGCCTCTCTTGTCAACTAAATCTACTCTCTTTCATGTTAAAACCAGTACTCCTTCTTCTGTCACTCAAGGCCTCAGTGAGAAGTAGACTTCTTCTGAGTCCTCTATATACTTGAAAGGCTGTATTTTACAACCTAAGCTGTATGCAGCCTCCCCATTTGAATTTTCTAGCCTTAAGTGAAGCAAAGGGACTTATGACATCATGGTGAATTTACTGATTGTCTTCAGATTTTCATTTTCTCACAATAAATTATTTCATAATGGCTATTTCATTAATTCATCTTCATCAACCACTCATTTTGTATCTTCATCTATAAAGAACACAAGCTTACTATTTGAAAGGAAGCCCTCAGTTGTATCATCTCTCTGTTTTGCTATCAAAATGCACTTTGGAGCACTTTCTTTCTATACAAATAAACTTGCATCTCATCCTCATACACTCAACAGGCTGAGAAGCTCTATTAAATTCCCAGGAAATGCCTCGGCAAAAAGGACCATTATCACTTGGGAAGGAATTTTCAACAGTGCTGAACTTGCTACCTTTCTGTTGATTTTCCAGCATGTAAGTTATGATACTAAAGAACTACGGGTATAGTAATTTTTAGGCTTCCAGTTCTTCCTAAAAAAGCCAAACTCTGTTCCACAGCATTAAACAGTTCTTACTGGAAGACTGCTCCAGTAAGATTTTCTAAGATCAGATTTATAATTTAACCACTAATACTAAGCAGAAATTTAGTTACATATGCTAAGGAAATAAAGAAAAGGGAAAAGATACTGTTACTTGTCAAAACAAACAGTGTTTTGCAAGCATATGCAAAACAGCTTGCAATGCTACTATGACACCCAACTAAACAACTACATTAATGCAGATTTGAACTTAATGGAACAGCTCATATTTTTAAGTTAACTAAAATCATGATGCATCCAAATCTAAAAAAATTGCTAGAAATACTGAGAATACCACTAACACTAACAGGAAGCTGAGGATTTAAGAGAGAAATAACTGACATCTTATAGTCATCACACATAAAAGGTAATTATACCTATTGATACACTGCTTCTTACAGACTTGACAAAATGTACCCCTTAGAAGATGTTTAAGAGAATAAACTGATATGTATAGCTATTTGCTAACCTGAAAACTAGTGCTGAAGAACCTGCTTAATGAGCCAACTATCCAAATATAGTAAAATTTCATAAATAATGATGCTAGGTCTATTATGTTTTCAAAACTACTTTCTCAGTCATAAATAATAATACAAGAAATTGGTGGCTAATACTAATTTGCAGCAGGGTAGTTTCTCATTAATTCTCTGCTGTTAAAACAGCTCATTAAAATTGTAAGATGATACAGTTACTTAATACATTTTATAGCACAGAACCAACTTCTAAAAATCTGCCCTTTTAATACTTCAAAATCAGAAATTAAAGTAATTGGTTTACTTGGTATTTGGCAATGTACATCCTCCTTCCCTAAGTAAAAAAATATTGAAGAACAGAAAACAGTACTGAAAACTTTTTCTGCTTAGATTAGACATTAGGAGGAAGTTCTTCACTATGAGGGCGGTGAGACACTGGAACAGGTTGCTTAGGGAAGCTGTGGAAGAACCATCCCTGGAAGTGTTCAAGGGCAAGTTGTATGGGACTCCAAGCAATCTAGTGGGAGGTGTCCCTGCCGATGCAGGGGGGTTGGATCTAGATGAGCTTTAAGGTCCCTTCCAACTCAGAGCACTTCATGATTCTGATTACCTATCTTTTAATTGCAAAGCTTTTATAAACCCTTAAGACATTACAGTAACAGTTGGGAAAAAAAAAATAAATAATAAATTAATGTAATGGATACTCATGCTCAAATTAAAACAAACAAACAAAAAAAACTACATGAGTTGAAATGCACATGTAACACTTCCCCCTCCCAATAACTCTAAACTAGTGGAAGGAACCTGTGTTCACCTTTGCTGTTTGTGAAAACTGAGGCACAACCCACCATGACAATGCTAAAAATACACACACTAAAAGTACACTAGACAGTTGCAAGGGAGTTAAGAAAAGGAGTGTGTCAAAAGTTTTCAATAAAACAAAGCAGAAAGCTATTTTTAAACTACATTCTTCATATGCTCAAACAAGGGGCCAATAAGCCTACCTACTGTAGGTAAACACTACTAGCCTGCTTGCCTCAGAGGTCACGTGCTAGACTTCAAACAGGGACCATCAAGAGGCAGAGATCTGTACAATGAGGCCCCAATTCTCAGAAGTGGTCCTCTAGGTGGTTGCCAGTGTCCAAAAAGGCTAGAGAACTGTTAGCACAGGAAAACTGAAAAAATTTAAGGAGCATACAGTAAACCACAGAGTAACACTTCTAAGACCTAGTACACCACTACGTATCATCAGCTCAGACCAAACACCGGCATTGCTATCAGACCCAAAAAAAAAACAGGTGGGAGGGTATCAACAGAATTTCAGAATGTAAAACCAGATTAAGAAAGTGATGTCCTGACAACCACAATCCTGTTAATATTTACTGCACCCCATGCAGTAAAGCCCTGGATTCTAGGGTCTGGTGACTGAACCGACTTCCCAGCATTTGTGCACATAGAGCATTTTCAGACCTAAGGATCAGTGTGAAATCTTTGAACATAGTAAAATATAATACAAAGACTCTAAACCAAATAAGCTAAGAAAATTCCATAGTATATTAGTAATTTTTCTTAATTGGTCTTTTGGTTTTTAATTACATAGGATTTTAGGATTAATTATTTAGCATTTTACACACGCAGCTGCATATTTAAGGTCTTGTACAACTGTTGCTTCTCCAAATCAAGAGGCTTTACTTTTGTTCTAAAGACAAGAAACTGATTGGTTAATTTGATCTTCACATCTAACTATGCAGTAGCTTTCTTTTCAGTATTAAAACTTTTACATAATTAATTTTGTAGGATACTGAAAGTAACCATCCATTTGGTAGTATGAAGTATGTGTTTCTTGTACACTTTTAATATATTTTATGCACTACATCATTTGATTAGATGGAATTATACACACAATTGTCTCCTGAAATCACATATATACTGCCCCTCTTAAATCAATCAGCTGAATTTTTGTGTTTTGAAATTCCTGTAGACAAACGGATTTTAGAATATGAAGCTGTAAAAAAAGCAACCAACACTTTTTTTTTAACTTACACATAGCTTCACATGATTGAAGCACTCTGGAGCATTCTTGCAACACCTGAAGTCCTAAGACATTACTGGTTTCTCTAAACACTAGAGTAAGTAGGGCCCAAAACACAAACTAGCACAGATGTGATTCTGACTGCTTAACTGAGAATAAGTAATAAAATTCCAGGTGAGGATATATTTCAGTACAACTTCTCTGCTTGGGTTGATAAGTGATATATATCTGAAGCTTCTACTAAAATTATCTACTAGGTTATCTACTTACTTCATTTTATAGCACAGAACCAACTTCTAAAAATCTGCCCTTTTAATACTTCAAAATCAGAAATTAAAGTAATTGGTTTACTTGGTATTTGGCAATGTACATCCTCCTTCCCTAAGTAAAAAAATATTGAAGAACAGAAAACAGTACTGAAAACTTTTTCTGCTTAGATTAGACATTAGGAGGAAGTTCTTCACTATGAGGGCGGTGAGACACTGGAACAGGTTGCTTAGGGAAGCTGTGGAAGAACCATCCCTGGAAGTGTTCAAGGGCAAGTTGTATGGGACTCCAAGCAATCTAGTGGGAGGTGTCCCTGCCGATGCAGGGGGGTTGGATCTAGATGAGCTTTAAGGTCCCTTCCAACTCAGAGCACTTCATGATTCTGATTACCTATCTTTTAATTGAAAAGCTTTTATAAACCCTTAAGACATTACAGTAACAGTTGGGAAAAAAAAAATAAATAATAAATTAATGTAATGGATACTCATGCTCAAATTAAAACAAACAAACAAAAAAAACTACATGAGTTGAAATGCACATGTAACACTTCCCCCTCCCAATAACTCTAAACTAGTGGAAGGAACCTGTGTTCACCTTTGCTGTTTGTGAAAACTGAGGCACAACCCACCATGACAATGCTAAAAATACACACACTAAAAGTACACTAGACAGTTGCAAGGGAGTTAAGAAAAGGAGTGTGTCAAAAGTTTTCAATAAAACAAAGCAGAAAGCTATTTTTAAACTACATTCTTCATATGCTCAAACAAGGGGCCAATAAGCCTACCTACTGTAGGTAAACACTACTAGCCTGCTTGCCTCAGAGGTCACGTGCTAGACTTCAAACAGGGACCATCAAGAGGCAGAGATCTGTACAATGAGGCCCCAATTCTCAGAAGTGGTCCTCTAGGTGGTTGCCAGTGTCCAAAAAGGCTAGAGAACTGTTAGCACAGGAAAACTGAAAAAATTTAAGGAGCATACAGTAAACCACAGAGTAACACTTCTAAGACCTAGTACACCACTACGTATCATCAGCTCAGACCAAACACCGGCATTGCTATCAGACCCAAAAAAAAAACAGGTGGGAGGGTATCAACAGAATTTCAGAATGTAAAACCAGATTAAGAAAGTGATGTCCTGACAACCACAATCCTGTTAATATTTACTGCACCCCATGCAGTAAAGCCCTGGATTCTAGGGTCTGGTGACTGAACCGACTTCCCAGCATTTGTGCACATAGAGCATTTTCAGACCTAAGGATCAGTGTGAAATCTTTGAACATAGTAAAATATAATACAAAGACTCTAAACCAAATAAGCTAAGAAAATTCCATAGTATATTAGTAATTTTTCTTAATTGGTCTTTTGGTTTTTAATTACATAGGATTTTAGGATTAATTATTTAGCATTTTACACACGCAGCTGCATATTTAAGGTCTTGTACAACTGTTGCTTCTCCAAATCAAGAGGCTTTACTTTTGTTCTAAAGACAAGAAACTGATTGGTTAATTTGATCTTCACATCTAACTATGCAGTAGCTTTCTTTTCAGTATTAAAACTTTTACATAATTAATTTTGTAGGATACTGAAAGTAACCATCCATTTGGTAGTATGAAGTATGTGTTTCTTGTACACTTTTAATATATTTTATGCACTACATCATTTGATTAGATGGAATTATACACACAATTGTCTCCTGAAATCACATATATACTGCCCCTCTTAAATCAATCAGCTGAATTTTTGTGTTTTGAAATTCCTGTAGACAAACGGATTTTAGAATATGAAGCTGTAAAAAAAGCAACCAACACTTTTTTTTTAACTTACACATAGCTTCACATGATTGAAGCACTCTGGAGCATTCTTGCAACACCTGAAGTCCTAAGACATTACTGGTTTCTCTAAACACTAGAGTAAGTAGGGCCCAAAACACAAACTAGCACAGATGTGATTCTGACTGCTTAACTGAGAATAAGTAATAAAATTCCAGGTGAGGATATATTTCAGTACAACTTCTCTGCTTGGGTTGATAAGTGATATATATCTGAAGCTTCTACTAAAATTATCTACTAGGTTATCTACTTACTTGAGTCAATATGAATTAATAAGGATAATTTTTACCACAGACTCTTGTGTTTTGGAAAAGACTTCCAACACAAAAATCACTCCTATCTCACTGTTGAATTGCTGCAGGTGAGGTAGAGCTTACATTAGAGCTAGAAGCCTCTGCATTACAAGAAAGTTTATTCACCAGCATCATGGTGAAGTTTGAAATGTAATACTTTATTGATAGTCTGATATAATCCCCCTTATACTCCTCCTCATAGTCCCTCTATTCCACAGAAAAAAAACCAGGCAGAAAGGTGGGGAAAGAAAAGGCTGTATTCTGATTTACAGGAGAGACATGCTGATTTTTAACTGAAAATGACAACTGGAATTCTAAAAACTACAAGCATGTAAAGCAGCATTTATCTTACCTTTTAGCCCTCAAACTAAAAGTAGCTAAACCTGAACTCACATACTATCATGCAGCATTTAATTATTAAATCAGTAATGACGCGCTATCACTTTAAGCCATCTTTTGGATTTATTATTTTTTTTAAGAATGATTCCCTAAGTTTCTTTCTCTCAACTCTGTGAAGTCCAGATTGTTTTCTTCTAGCTCTGTGTACTTTGATTTCCCTAGCCTATAGCAGTGCCTTATGTTTTATTCTACCTGCATCAAGTAACCTTTATGGGTGGTTTGTTTGTTTTGTGGGGCTTTTTTACCAGCTCACAGTTAGTCACGTAGAACCAGTACTTTTCAAATCATCAAGCACATCTTGAATGTTCTCCTGAACAGTCTCTTTCAATTGTACATAGAGAGAAAACACTCCGGAGGTCTAAAATAAAATCTGAATAACCAATACTTACTTAGAGAAGGTCCATGGAGAATTGCACAGTTGGGGCAATGGTATAGGTCAATATCAACAGCATGGTGCTCCTCTACTCCTACACAGCTGGAATAATATTTTTTTAATGTTAATAAGAATATGTGCAAGATTTATTTTTTAAGCAAAAAATAATTAAGTTTTTTACCAGAACATGCTTAGTCTACAAAATCATGAGATAACCAAATTATCTCAACTACTGGTTTGCCACATAAATTCTGAGTAATGATTTATCACTGACTAGAGAATGCCACTCAAAACAAAAACAAAAACAAAAAAAAAATTCATAAAAAGGAAATAAGAATCAAATTTATTTAAAAATTAGTCTACAAAGCATACAATTACCCTTCAATTCCCAAAAAAGCTGTGATCCTAATTACAGGGAACCATTTATGCAAAATCATTCAAGCAACTTTCTTTATCAAAGTTATGATTTAAAAAATAATCAGAAGTCTATTTATAGAAAATAACATGGATTATTTTTTTCTACAAAAAGTACAAAAAACCCACTCCTATCCCCAAGACAAACCAATTAAGAATGCTTCCTTTTTCTCCCTGAAATCTTTACACTACTAGTACTAGCTATTAAAATAACACAAGTGACCAAACAAATAACTTTGTAGAAGTGGTTTTCTTTTAAAACAGCAACAAGTTTTTCAAACAGCCCTTCAGAGATGTAATGCTTTCCCAATGCATATTATTTCCCAGATAAAATAGTCATAGTGGGATTAAAGTTGACAAGTTTTATAGCAGCCATGACAAAGCATGTACGCTACTGTATATCTAAACAGCACAATTTTAAATGCAAAATTAGGTACCTTTTCTTGGAAGTTGAAACCTAGAGATTGGAAAGTAAGAGCTTTTGCACCAAGTTCGCGAAAAAAGTAATCCCTACTATCTGACGAAATATGAATCCAAGCCAAGTTCTTTCTCTGAAACGTTCATTGACACATAAATGACTGATCACTTAATAACACAGAAGAGCAAGACTACATCACTGAACACGTACACTCAAGTTAGGTATTTATATTCAATGCATTCTCATAACATAAGAACTTGAACAGTACTCAATTCAGGTAAGTCATTTCATATCAAAAGCATAATGACAGCTTTAACCCTGAAGCTTTGAAAAGATACAGCTACACCAAGTCTTTTCTCTAGCAGGCCAGAGCCAGAACTGCTGACACGCTCCAGTAAGTGTAAGTACATGCTGCCAAAACAATAAACTAAACAGCAGAGCATTCAAAGGTACCAAGAAGCAAATCAAATTGCAGAGCATTTCCCATGTAACTATCAATGAGAAGTACACCATTCTGAATGCTCTGTAAATAGATCCAGCTGTTTCTTCTCCTTTTCCATTCACTACATACCAAATGAAATTTAGAAATTATATAGCTTTTAATGTACATAATATTTTAAAATCTAAATAGAAAATTTAGCTGACACAGTTCATCACAATTCTTGCAATGTTTAGTATCTGCTTTAAGCCCACAACTATAGGAATTGTTATCACATGAAAATTCAGCTGACATATAAACAAAAGGAAAGGCAGAAGCATCCATGTCCAATTTCCTTCTGCTTCTGTTCTCTCCCTTTTTACAGAATAGATGAGTGACTCATAATGCAATGCATTCTAGGAAAATTGTTTTAAAATATACACTCTAAAAGCACCAAAATAAGCAGGCTGGTTTTTTATACATCCTTAAGAATCCTATTGTTTTAGCTAAATTTCTGATCTTTCTCAACAGTTAAAGGTATTTCTTTTGGAATGTATCTTGATCAAGTTTGCACAATTACTCAATGAAGCACAGTGCTCCATGGGAAAACTTCACTTACTATCTTTCCCTTTAATTGGTGTTAATCTGATACATTCATCATCACCCCAATCAGGTTGACTGACTAATTATAAGAACTATGCATCAAAATACAGTAAAAATCATTCAAGAACTGACAATTGTCATGTTCTGTTTAAGAACATTAATTTTGTTGCATCTTACAGAATGTTATAGATAGGCTTACAATAAAGCAGAAATTCTGTTAAGTACTAAACACTTTCTCTGCTTTGTTTAACTCCATAACCTTTCATAAAGGCACACAGAGCTTTGTGTATGGAGAGAGCAGGTGAAACTGGAATGGTATCAGAATAGCTGGAATAGCCATTCAGTAAAGAAAGAAAAGATTTTCAGGCTACTATCTACACTCTAAACTCAAAACCAACTGGAGAGGCAAAATATTAACTGGGAGATACTGGAAGTAAATCTAACAGCAGATACCTGACTGACGCAAAGTGCAAATGAGGTGCAAGCACCTGCAAGAACAACTATTGCCAAGGATGCCACAGAGTGTATCAATCACACAGAGCGCCATTAAAGTCACTTTCCTGAGTTCCTTTCTCCAATGTACACAGATGAATCTGACATTAATCATTCTAGCTACTAGCAAGCAATCAATCACTGTGGTAAGTGCAACTTCAGACCTCAAGCATCAAAGCAAGGTCACCAAGAGGTAGCAGAAAGCCTGGAAAGCATTAACATACTCAAACACAGTAACACTCCCAATCCACGGATGTTTTCCTGAATGAAATATCATTATTACCCTTCACCTCACCATCCATTTGGGATGAAATGTCTTAAGGATATATTACCTACTTTCTGAATTGCTCATCTCCTGGAGGAAGACTGCACATTAATCCTCAGGAACTATGAAAAGTTTACAATATTACAAAATAAAAATAAAATAGAATAATAATTTTAAAAACCTCTAGGAGACTATGCAGTAATACACCTTTAATTCTGTTCATGAAGGTGGAAGGCCTGAACAGCCCAATTTCACTTCACAGAATCACAGAATGGTTTAGGTTGGAAGGGATATTAAAGATCATCCAGTTCCAACCCCCCTGCCATGGACAAGGACACCTCCCACCAGACCAGGTTAATTCAGTATGACAGATTCAAAAACGATTTCACCATTATGCCGGAATGCCTTGTACAAGAAGTCTGCAAAAGTAAAAAATATTTACATGAAGCATTATTCTGCACAGCTGTATAGAGTAAGCCACTAAAGAACCCTGGCACCTCTTCTTTCCTAGAGCAGTATGATATTGTGAAAAGTACTGGATCCATGTCAGTCACCACGAAGGCTGCTGCACCTTCCAAATCTTATACCTGCTTGCTCTCAATCAAGTCTGGCTTTTCTCTTCCCTACTTCTGATGTTATCAAGCAAAACCACAACATTTTAGAGATTGTTTAACTGCCTCTCTTGGTATGAAATAATCTTGGTTTAAGAAAAATATCAAAAGTACTATTCATTCAAGGCCTTATTTTCAGTGTCCTTAAAGGAACATAACTACTTGAAAAGCTATTTTATGTCATGAAAACAACTAGTGTTTATACTGGGACATTACATACAACTCCAAGCATAAAAGGGAATTATTATAGGCACAGCACTATATAAGTGAAGATAGAATTAAAGTTTGGATGGCCATTTTCCCAATTTAATTGTCACAGCTGAAAAGACTAACAGGCCAGATTATCAGCTGTCAGCAAGGTATTTCTACTAGGAAATTATTTCCTGTATACTGCAGAAACCGGATCATCCTCAACATGGAAAAAAATGCTTAATTGTTAAGAAACTGGATCATGCACAGGACACCATCTCTTGGATTTAATCTTCTGTTCTTTCTCCCCATTTCTTCAATTCCATAAGATCATTTTTCACCTTTCAGTAGCATGTTGGAAACAATCAGACTCTTCTTTATAGTTGCAATTGTACTTCTCATGAAACTTCCTACAGCAGCTTTCACTTCTGTCAACATCAGCATGGTACTTGTACCTGTAAGTTTCATCTAGCAGATGCAGAAAAGTGACAGGCCACCAGAGGAATGTCTACTACTTCTTCAACAGATATTGTTAGACAGGTATTGTTTTACAATTAGATATTGATTTAGAGCTCAAAATTGACCTAAGATTTTTTTAAAGTCTCTGACTTTTTTCTTGAACACAAAAGTTCAGGCTCAAAGACCTCGTGGTTTTCAACAGTCTGATCGGAACAGTCTGACTTTTTTTTTTTTGCTGTCATTGTGTAGAAAAATGTATGTTCAGGGCTCTTGCCCTCCTTCGTCCAACTGTCTGACCATGGACTGCCATTGTTTCTCTCACCAAATCTAAACCATCAGGCCAAGTCTGTTCAACAAACTGATCCAAAGGAAAAATTAACGACCACTCAACTCACTTTTGTAGATAGGCTTTAAAAACCCAAACAGTAAAATTTATAGAAATAAATATAAGGGGTATATGTTTCAGTTATATGCAGTTATTTACTAAACTTGGTTATTTTCAAGACACAGTAATTGAAAATATTCTGTTATCTCTACACTATTTTGTCTTTCTAAAAAAGACTGCTAAACAATAGGGAAAAGATGTTATTACACATAGAAGAAAGAAACTCACACTTGCCTTTTTAGTATCAGACCTTATTACTGAATTTCAAATCATCACAGAAGAGAGATATTTCTATTAATATACCAAACAAGTCTGGAAGTAGTATGCAATTATTAGAGTAAACTTTTCAGTCTATCTGTAACAAGTTCTGCAGTTCCTACTTTCAGTCCTAATCTCATTGAGTGTAATAAAACCCCAAATACTATGGCAATTTTTGTCAAAATTCTTTAGCAAGCTTGCAAGTTATGCAAAGAACAGCTCCTCCTACTCCATCCCAAGAATGCAAAGAAAAGCATGAGTTGGAGGAATTGAATTTGGCAATTTTAAGGAATTCTGGTTAATCATTTCATTCAAACCTATTTTTGCCAAGCGGGAAAAGAATGCCAAGTAGGCAATATTTAGAGATTAAAACAATGGAAGTACTTAAGATGTCCCTGCCACAACCAAATAAACACATCTGTCACTCATTTGGGGACAAACTTTTAGAAGTTACAAACTTTTAGATACAAAACCATACTGCCTTAAAATAAATTGCAGAAAAAATACCCAACATAAAACTATTTGAGCTTTTGCCATATTCACTTTCCAAAACAAAATACCTTTTAAAAATAAATGACTGGTATAAACACAACTC